AATACATGCCCTCGCTCAGCTCCCCACTGGGCGGTGGGGGCGGAGAGAGCTAATAGTGGGGGGGGGGGGGGGTTACACCAGGAGCCAACCAAGAGTGTGGGAGGTAAAGACAGGGGCTCCCCAGAAGAGGTGGTAGGCAGGGGTGGGGAGCTAGGCCTCCTGCCCCAGATCCCCCCCCCTTCCCAAATTGGACCCCCACACACACACACACACCCTGAACAATATCTCCAAGCTTCCGGCCCAGTTCCACTCAAGTCTCTCTCCCCAGTGCATGCTGGGATAACCCCCCCCCAACACACACAGCTGATCCCCCCCCCCGCCTACTTACCGTGAGCCCCGATACGGATGTGGGTGTCACGGTGCTCCTGTTCGTGGCTTGATTTAAAAGAGGAATAAAGAGAGCGGAGCTTAGTGTGGGGAGGGGTACAGCAAGGGGGTGCGATAGGAGGCTTAGCTGTTAGGAGGCCTCTACTGGAGTACCCCCCCCCCCCGATCAGAGAGCTCAACCATGGCACTGATGCTACGCAGGCACCAGAACCAACATGCAGCCACCTCTGGGGTGGGGTGTGGCAGCTGGTTAGCCACCGCAGAGCAAGACAATAGTTTAGGACAGGAAGTGAAGGAGATTCCCAGTTTCAAGTGCACCAGGGCAGGGGGAAGGTTATTTAGGGAGGCAGCAGCCTGGGGTTATCCAAGTGCGCTCTCACATCCTCCCTAAATTATCACCACCGCAATTCTTGGAAAAGTGCCATATGGAGTGACCTTTAATGACCTCAACGGGACCGCGCCCCCTACCGAGCCCAGCCCCTGCGCCCTGTAACACAGCGCCCCCTAGTGCCACAGTGGGGCATTGGGGTCAGCACTGACAATGCCCCCTGGCCCACTCCCTCCAGCACAGTGCCCCCCTAGCACCACCCCAGGGGGGGGCCCTGATTCTGCCTTCTGGGGGCCCTTCACCTCCAGCAGAAACCACAGTTCGCCTGCTACCCCGACAGCAACCAGGCCTGACGCTGCCCCCCAGGAGCTCAGCTCAGCAAGAGAAAACCATCAACCACCAGCCCACGCTACCACCTGGGGAGCTGTGCACACAAGCCAGCCCCTACTATGCTCATGCAACCCAACTTCCCCCGCCCCCAGCTCTAACCACTAGACCCCCCCACACACCCCTGCCAGGACAGGGGACAGAACCCAGATGTCCTGACTCAAAGCCGACCCTGCTCTAACCACTCATCCCCACTTCCCTGCCAGGGCTGGGGACAGAATCCAGGTGTCCTGACTCCCAGCCCACCCTGCTCTAACCACTCATCCCCACTTCCCTGCCAGGGCTGGGGACAGAATCCCAGGTGTCCTGACTCCCAGCCCACCCTGCTCTAACCACTCATCCCCACTTCCCTGCCAGGACTGGGGACAGAACCCAGCTGTCCTGACTCCCAGCCCACCCTGCTCTAACCACTCATCGCCGCTTCCCTGCCAGGACTGGGGACAGAACCCAGAAGCCCCGATTCCCAGCTCTAACCACTAGCCCTGCTCCCAGCAGGTCCGCCCAATATCGATGGTACAACTCAACTGCCCCCCTGGGCTCATCCCCGCTCCCCCATGCACCATCCAGCCTCCCAGGGCCCGGGACTCTGCTTCCAGTCTGTAAGCAACACGCCAGCCGCTCCCTTCCCCTGCCTTGCCATTACGCAGGAAGGGAACTACAACTCCCAGGGTGCCCCTCTCCGCTCCATCCTGCCCTGCCCAGCCCCCAGCCTGGCCTTCAGCCCATGCTCCCAGCCCCAGGGCGGTTGTGCATTGCAACCTAGAGAGCAGGTCAGGCCTGAACAGGCTGGAGCCCTTCCCAGGACCGGGGTGCGACTCAGAGCTCTGGGATCCAGCGCGGGGGGGGGGGGGGGGGGGGGGGTGGTATGCACAGGACTCTCCCCGCACAAGGCAGTACAGCTGGTCCCAAGTCACACCCCCCACCCCCACCCCGCTTTGCTAGTCAATGGCAGAGCTGGGGATAGAACCCAGGAGTCCTGGCTCTCCGCACCCCCCCTTCTAAATCCCACTCCCCTCCCAGAGCTGGGGATAGAACCCAGGAGTCCTGGCTCTCCGCACCCCCCCTTCTAAATCCCACTCCCCTCCCAGAGCTGGGGATAGAACCCAGGAGTCCTGGCTCTCAGCACCCTCCCCCTTCTAAATCCCACTCCCCTCCCAGAGCTGGGAATAGAACCCAGGAGTCCTGGCTCTCAGCACCCTTCCCCCTTCTAAATCCCACTCTCCTCCCAAAGATGGGGATAGAACCCAGGAGTCCTGGCTCTCAGCACCCTCCCCCTTCTAAATCCCACTCTCCTCCCAGAGCTGGGGATAGATCCCAGGAGCCCCAGTATACACACCGCTCTAACCACTAGACCCCACTCTCCTCTCAGTGCTGGGGATACAGCCATGAGTCCTGGCTCCCACTTCTTGCTCTAATCACTCCCCTCCCAGGGCTGAGAATCCAGCAGCCCCTACTCCTACCCCACCCCCACCTCCCAAGCCCTAGATCCTGCCAGGGTTGGGAATGGAACCCAGGAGCCCTGGCTCCCAGCCCCCCGCTCCAACCACTAGCCCTTACTGTGCAGCCTGGATACAGTTTGCAAGGCAGGCGGAGTGTCCTTGATAAGGAATTTGGACCCTCCCCCCCTTTGCCCAGAGCAGTAAGTTACATGCTTGGGGGGGGGGGGGGGTTTGAAACTGTTTGTTTGATGCATGGAGGCGGGGTCTTAAAACTCTTGTAGGTGACTCCACCTGTAAACAGAGACACACGGGGGTGGGGTGCTAACAGATCAGCCAGTCCCAGGGACATTCCCCCAGCAGAGGTGACTCACCCCCCCTGTTCCAGCCTCTCCCTCCCTCCACCCCCTCCAGGGTGTGGATCCACCCGTGTCAGGCTCCGAAACCCAGCGCCGGGACAACTGAAACCACCTTGCCCCGCCGCGCCCGCTCCCCCGGCTCTCCGCCAGGGCTGGCTCGGGGCCTGGGACAGGACGGGATCAAGCCGTAACAGGGAAGGGGCCTTCCACAAACACACCTGCGGTTTGCCCTGGGGGGAAGGGGGCAGCAGCAACTGCCGTGGGGGGGGGGGGCGAAGATCTGGGGACTGAAAGCCACAGGATCTGCCCTGGGAAGCCGCGGGGGAGAGGGGGGTGTTGTATGCTGGCCACATTAAAATCTAGTCACCGGCTTCAGGCATCAACTCCATTATATGGATTACGGTAGAGCCCCAATCATGGCCAAGGACCCCACTGTGGTGGGTGCCAAACTTTATTTATTAGGTGCATTACGGTGGAAGATTTAATGGGAGCGGGGGGGGAGGGGGGGGGAGATAATCAAACCTGCCAATCCGGGCCTTGCATGCCAAAAGGTGACACCCCCTCTCCCAACTTCCCTACGATTGCATGCAGAGATCGTTCTTCCGACCACAGAAATGCAGCCACCTCTGGGGTAGAACAGGGCAGTGGGCGAACAGCCATGCAGCAGTTCTACGCAGGGATCGCTCAGCCAGTGCTGAAATGCAGCCACCTCTGGGGTGGGGCATGGCAGCCGATTAACTGTGCCCATCACCCCTGTGCTGGTAAACACACAAAAGGGTCAATGCTCTGTGTTCTGGTCCGACCCAATGCTGGGTTGACCCCGGTGCTGCGTCCCTGGTGACCAGAATCTAAAGCCTCCTTCGGGCTGTCCCAGCTAACAACAGCCCAACAGCAACTTTAGTCAAGTTAAGCTGTAGCCTCCTGCCAGGGTGACTTGCCCGCAGTAGATCTTGCTAGCACCAGGCTCCAGTGAACGATTCTATCCACTTTATTGCAGGGGGGGGCACCGCTGCCCTCTGCTGCATGGAATCAGAAGTGCTTGGATGTGTGTCATAGGGCCTATACTACCTATAGGGAGGGGGATTCTCCTTCCGGTCCTGGGCCATTGGAGCAGCAGATAAGATTTCTGTCCCTACCAACCAGAAGGAGAAGGGGTGAGCATAAGGGAAAAATCACTCGCTCAATCAGTGGTGGAGTTAAGAGAACTCCAGGCTGTTTAACCACTAGACCCCACTCCCCACCCAAGAGTTCTGGCTCCCAGCCCCCCTCCCCCCTGGTGTGGAAGCAGATGCACTTAACAACCCACCACCTACTTTGGCCCAGGGCCGGCTGTAACAGGGACTGCAGGGCCACGGCCAGGAGCAAGGAGTGACTGTAGCCCGCCATCGCTCCCCCGGGTGTCTGGGAGGGAGGGGGGGACATGGGGGGGTCACTCCCCCTTTCCCTGGAGAGATCACAATCCTGCTGGTGCAACTGTCACACAACCTCCTGCTTCCCGGCGTCCTCAGGCCGTTGGGGGGCGTGGGGGGCCCTTGGAGATGGGGATGACCGGGAACCGGGCAGCCCCCAGGGTTTCACCACCTGGGAGAGGGACAGAGAGAAAGGGGTCAGAACCACTCGTAACCCCCTGCCCCCAGCTCTGCATCCATTAGACCCACAGACCACCCAAGCCTACCCCTCCATCAGGTCGGCTCTTCTGGGCACTCTACGATCCGTCCACTTACTCGGATTGGCGTGAAATTTGCTGTGCCTCATAGGGGAGCGGGGTAGGGTCCGTGGTGCGAATTTGGGGTCGTTTGAGCAAGGGATTCAGGAGCCCGCCCCCCCCCAGCGTTTACAACCTCTTGTGGAGGTTGGTTGGTTGGTTTCTTCCGCGCACCTCCGGGGCTCCAAGCCTGGCTGGGATCCTCCCCGGACTGAACTCGGTTGCTCAGGATTTCTCTCAGCCAGTTCCTGGTGCCCACTGCCCCTTTGGCAGGGGGCGGGGTTGTACTGAAGTCACTAAAGGGTTACGTTAGGAACTCCGGAGCGCCAGGAGTTGGAGTCAGAGAGAACGGAACTGGGCATGTGCAGAAATAATTCTAGGCTCTTATCCAGCCAATCCCAAAGCACTTTACAAGGGAGGTCACAATCATTCCCCCCCATGCTACAGATGGGGAAACTGAGGCAGGGAAGTGGCTCGCCCAAGGTCACCCAGCAGGCAGAGCTGGGCCTAGAACCCAGGTGTCCCAACCCAAGGCTCTGTCCGCTAGGCCATACTGCCTCCTCTAGCAAGCCTAGGCCTCAGCCGATGCAGCTCTCAGCACCGCGGTACGCAAGCGTGACGCTGCTCCTCGTGGGGCTGCCTCCGGGATAGAATCCAGCCCCAACGCAGCTGGAAGAGACATCACCAAGTCAGCCTAGCAGACAGAGCCCTGGGCTCTATCCCCAGTTCTGACCCTCTGGGCAAATCAGTGCCCCGCTCCGTGCCTCAGTTTCCCCATCTGTACAATAAGAGAAAACGAGACCGCCCTGTCTCCCAGCAGGGGTGGAGAGAGTCTGTTTAGACAAGCACTTCGGGGCAGGGACCGTCTCTTATTCTGTCTTTGTCCAGCACCTCGCCCGCTGCGGATCCCACCTCATTCTCGGTCGGACCCCACTGAGATAAAGTAGAGGGCTGCCGACCCGGCCCACCCAACGAGAGTGCACACACCTCACTAAGCTGCTTCCTGGGACCAGCTACCGCCAGGGAGATTCCTCCATCGGCAGCAGCAACTGGGCAAATTCTGTAATCATGGGGCTAAATCTATGAAAGCTTGTGAAGACCCTGGATTGTAGCGAGATGGGGGCCGTGCAAAGTATCTAGAAAGCCACCCATTAGTGGCCAAGCTCAGGAGTCCATAAGACCTACTTGGTGGCCCTTCTACGTTGTCCGAAACGCAATAACTTCGCAATGCCCTGTCCGGTCGCTTCCAAACTTCCAGGGAAGTTTCGGGGCAGCACCCTGTTGATTTGGGGGATGATCAGAAAAACTGCAGGGGTGTGGGGGGGGAGAACAGCAGACACATGGAGCCCCCAACATCTGGTGGGTAGATCCCTGAGCTTTGACCAGGGCTCCAGATCAAAGAACCCGCTGAAGGCGTGAAAAGAAAATCCAAGAGATAATGGTGGGGAATGGGGCACACAGAGCCCCTGGCAGGGGGTGGATAGGGGGATGAAAGGAATGGGGAACCCTGAAATGGGGTGCACAGAGTCCCTGACAGAGGGGAGGAGGGGATAGTAGAAGGAACCTCCTTGGTGTGTGGAATGAAGTTTCTAGTGATCCAGCCCTTTGGAGATGCAAATGTCTTCAGCAGGAGGAGGATTTCAGGCCCTAGGCCGTTCCTGTCACCCAAGACTCCCCAAATTAGGCAGGACAAAGCTCAAAGGGGTGGGGTGAGGGGTAGCAAACCTGCCATGGCCCCTGCTCAGGGAGCCTTCTCCACAGAACAGACCCTTTCCCCCCACATCCCTGCTGCTCTCAGCGGATCCTCATCCTCGTCACATTTGAGGAGCTGCTGCATCTTCCGTGCAAGCGGCCAGGGTACCGAAGCACCGCGCAGCCCTTGGCCGAATCCAGCCTCACAGCGACCCGGGAGGAAGGCAAGTATTATAAATGGGGAAACTGAGGCAGCAAGCAGGGAAGGGACTTGCCCAAGCGAGAGGGCGGCAGAGTGCTGGGCCAGTGCACAGCCAGGTACAGAAACCAGGAGTCCATACGACAAGTCACTGGCAGAGCTGAGAATAGAACCCAGGAGTCCTGGCTCCATCCCAGCCCTCCCTGCTCTACCCACTGCTCCATACCCCTTGTGGTTCCCATCCCAGGAAAAACCCGGCCCATTTCCCCACCCCCAACCCCATCATCCAATCACTCTAATAGCAGGCGTGGACAGAGAGCGACTCATATGTTAATAAAATGGCCCAACAAACCAAACCCAAATTTCTTCCAGTTGCCATCAGAAACGCTGCTCTCCGGTATTTCAGATAAGCCACAGGCCTCTGCATACGCCCACAACAGCCATGTCATCTGAACCAGTCCCGAGCGCTTAGCGAGGTCTACAAAGAACCCGGCAGGCAGCGTGGCCTAGTGGCTAGGGCTCTGGGTTGGGAACCAGGAGAGTCGAGTTCCCTTCCCAGCGTGGTCATGGGCAACTCACTGTGCCTCAGTTTCCCCTCCCACCTATTTAGACTGCAAGCTCTATGGGGCCAGGGCTGCCTCTTGCCAGGAGCTATTTATCCAGGGGGGCGGCTTAGAAGCCCCACACCCTTGCTTAGGGAGCACGGTTTAGTGGCTAAGACACAGGCCTGTGAATCAGACCCGGGATCCACGCCCAGTTCTGCCCTTGAGCCTCCTCGAGCCAGTCACTCTCCCATGCCTCAGTTTCCCCTGCTGCCCTATGAAAACTCTTTTTCCCCCCCTTGTCTAGTTTGATTCCCTGCCCCCACAGAGCTTACATGGCAAGAGACAGTGTCTCCACCACACTCAACGCACCAGGGCCCTGCTCGCCTTTGGGGGCACTAGAGGAACCCAGATAATAAGGTAACACCCACCGGGCCACTCTCCATCTCCCTCCTCCTGGCCAGGGGGATGAAGAGCTGGGGGCTGCTGGGCAGGTGAACATGGGGTGCAGGTCCCAGCGGGCCACGAGGGGGCTTCCACACCACATTTCTCTGGTGTGGACACACATCTGGGGTAGGGCCCACCTTTCTACTGAGGCTCCCGGGCGCGTGCAGAGCGGGAGGAAGGGGCTGTTGGGGACCTGGGTATGAAGCGGGGCAATGGGGGGGCACACAGAACCCCCTTGGGAAGGGGGGGCCCTGGGATGGGGGAGGGGGAAATCATTCAGTCCCCAGCCGGACTCCTGCCCTCCTAAGCACAAGCCCAGGTCACAGATCATGGACCTTGTTTCTGGCCCTCAGCAGCGGGAGCCACCAGCCCCCACACAGGGCAAATCTCCAGCCCCCCCCAAGACCCTGAAGCAACATCAGGGCTAGTGATGACCACTCAGGGCTAGTGATGGCCCCCCACCCTAGCCCACTCCATCTCCCACCCATGCAAGCCCTGCCGGGTCCATTTCAGGGCACGAAGATGGTTTTAAAGAAACGGGGGTGCCCCTGGGTGCCCCCCTATATCGACTCCCTCTGTGGGTTTCAGCTCAGCCGGGCCTCGCTGGTCAATTTTTAACCCAGCTGATTAAGCACAAACCCAGTGAAAGTCACCCAGAGCTCATTAACCCTGCGTGTGCCACCCCCGCCCAGAGCGACCCCCTCCCCAGCCCCTCCACCCGGGGCTAGTCCCGAAACGGGGGGTGCGGGGGGGCTCCCCCGAAGGAGGAAGCACCCGGAGAGACCAGGAAGCCCGGTCTCCAACATGAATCAACTCCAGGCACCCGATCGCCTGGGTTCTCAGGGACGGCCAGGCCTCTCGCCGCCTTTGCCCTGGGCTGGGGCAGGAACTGGCCTGGGTCACCGCTCCCAGGCCACGGCGGGCCTAGGCTGGGGGTGGGTGTAGGTAACCCCAGGAGGGGGCATCCCCCCCCCGGATCTGTGGCACCAGAGAAGCCGGACCCAAGGCACAGGTGGCGGGGGGAGGCATAGACCGGCCTCCACCAGCAGCAGCCAAATTCCAAGTGGGGGAAGGGGCAGATGCCCTCTTCCCTGGGGGGGCAGATCCCCCTCCCCGGAGGGTCCCCTGGCATTAACTGGAACGGGGGAAGTCCAGGCTCTCTTAAAGGGGCGGGGTTCTTTAGCCCTGCCTGCTCCCTGGGTGGGGGCTGCCCCATAGAACCCCAAACCCCTTCCCCGCACTCACCGGCCCTGTCCGTCTGTCCGCTCCCTCCCAGGGCTGCGATCTGGCCAGCTCCGCCTTCCCTCTCGCTCATGTGACCCCGGGGAAGGCAGGTGCCTCCCTCCTCCCGCACCTGAGGCAGGCAGGCAGGTCCCGCCCCCTTCTCACCTGGGCGGAGCTCACCTGAGCGCCGGGCCCAGAGCCCCAGCGGCATCAACAAGACTCAAGGGGCTCCCTCTGACCCTCCTGATCCAGGGGAACTGGCCCAGGATGCCCCAGAGAGCTGGGGATCTCCTGGGCCTATCTATAGCCTAGAGGATCTTGCCCCCAAAGTCCCTGCCCAAGGTAAGGGGAGATCTGCCAAGCCCACCTGAGCTCAGCCACCCCCACACCTGCCCCACCGGAAGAGGATGGAGCCTCTCTTTTCCACATGCACCTGCAGCCATCAGGTGCACAGACCCCGACTGAGATCAGGGCCCCCATTGTGCCAGGCGCTGCACAGACATAGAGCGAGAGAAAATCCCTACCCCAAAGAGCTCAGATGCTAAATATACAAAAGGGGGAGGGGAAACTGAGGCACGGTGGGGGGGGGGGGAAGCGAGTTGCCCAAGGTCAATGGCGGAGCAGGGAGTCGAATTAAGCTGACGCCTAGCCTCGTGCCTGATTCCACGCGATCCCATGGGCAGCTTTGCTCACGTACGTAGCCCATTGGCTTCAATGCAGGTTACTCACCTGAGTAAAGCCGGTCACGCTGGCAGCAGTTAGCCAGAAAGGCTGGTTTTGTGGTCGAGGCCGTAGCCTGGAGAGCTGGCTAGCGCCTCTGTGTGTGTGTCCGTCCCTTTATCCGAGCATGTCTCCGGTTCCCTCTTGTAACACAGCCTCTCCACTCCAGGAATTGCCTGCTACTCTGTTCATCGATTCTAAGCCCAGGCGGGACCTCTGGGATCTAGACCTCAGGCTCCCGGTATCACAGGCCACAGGGGGGGGAACTTCCCGTGTGAGCTCCGTGAAACACCACTAATAATTACCATGTCCTTACACAGCTCCTTCCAGCTCAAAGCGCATTGCCAGCCTTAAAGAGTGGAGCCTCGACCCCCACCTCTGAGTGGAGGGCACTGGTATCCCCATTTTATAGAGAGGGAAACTGAGGCACAGAACAAGGAAGTGACTTGCCCAAGGTAATTCAGCAGCAGAGATGAGAATAAAACCCAGGTGTCCTGAGAGCTAGCCCACCCGCCCGCCTGCCTGCCTGATTCTGGGATAGAACCTACAAGTTTCAGAGGGGTAGCCGTGTTAGTCTGAATCTGTAAAAAGCAACAGAGGGTCCTGTGGCACCTTTGAGACTAACAGAAGTACTGGGAGCATAAGCTTTCGTGGGTAAGAACCTCACTTCTTCAGATGCAACCTTACCAGATGAGGTTCTTACCCACGAAAGCTTATGCTCCCAGTACTTCTGTTAGTCTCAAAGGTGCCACAGGACCCTCTGTTGCTTTTTACAACCTACAAGTTCTAATTCACTGTCCCTGCAGCTCTAACCACTAGCCCACACTCTGTCCTAGAACTGGAGATAGAACCCAGGAGTCCTAATTCCCAGCCCCCCTGCTCTAACCACTAGGCCCCACTCCCAGATCTGGGAGTAGAACCCAGGAGCCTTGACTTTCTCTACCTCTTGCTTTCCCCCGCTAACCTGCCTCCCCCTAGACCCCTGCTGCCCCCCCAGTGTCTGACTCAGGTTCCCGCAGGCTCGCAGTCCGGGCTGGGATTCCTAATGGAAGCTCGCCCCCTGCTGGGGGAGGTTCCATTAACCCCAGCAACCAGGCCAGAGGGGAGCCAGCCGTGCCAGGCAGCGGGCGAAGGGCCCCTGCAAACCGACTTGGCGCTCGGAGGCAGCCGCTTTGCCAAGAAGCCCCTGGCCGCTCCCCCCCCCCCCCGCGACATTCCTGGGCGAGAAAGCTGCTGTTGTCCTGGCCAGAATGGAATTTAAATAAGCTAGAGTTATAAGCCTCTTGAACCCACCTGAGGTCAGGGCTGGGCCTAGATCGGATCTCTCCCTTGGGGCTGGGCTTGGGCGCTTCCTGGAGTGCAGGGGGCCGGATCCTGCTCTCGCCTCCAATGGTAAAAACCCAGATCAGCCGCCCCTCGCAGCCCCCGGATTAGGGCTCTTCTTATGGGGAACTCGACCCATAGAGCCGGAGGGGGTAATCGTTCTGCTGAGGCTAGATCAATTTCCCAGCCCTTCAGTCTGGTATTTTTTATCACTGGACGGCAGCATAGGCACAACGGAGGGATGCAGGAGACCAAGAGTCAGTTCCTTGCTTGGGCACGGATGCTCCGTGCCTCAGTTTCCCTGTTTGTGTGTGTGTCATGTAATAGCACTTCTCTGAGACTGTCAGATACGTTGGGGGGGGGGGGAGAAGGGGGTCATCTGAGCACATTAGACAGAGAGCAGCTGGTGCAAAACATGTTAAAGACGATGGCTTCCCTTGGACTACCGGGATGTTTGGCTGAGAGGCCGCAGCATGGCCTAATGGGTGAGCAACTGGGGTCTTTAGGGCTGGATTTGGTTCTCAGCCCTGGGAGGGGAGGGCGATCTAGTTAAAGTAGGGGGGGGATTAGAAGCCAGGACTCCTGGGTTCTATTCCTAGCTTTAGAAGGAGAGTGGGGTCTAGTGGTTAAAGCCGGGAGCTAGGACACATGGGTTCTATTCCCGGCTCTAGGAGTGGAGTGTGGTCTAGTAGGTTAGAGTAACGGGGAGGCACTGGGGGGAGCCAGGACACCTGGGTTTTAATCCTGGGTGGGGGGGAGCATGGGTCTAGTGGCTAAAGTAGGGGAGAATATGAGTCAGGGCACCTAGGTTCTATGCCCAGCTCTGCTACTGATTTTCTTTGTGCAAGTGACTTTCCCTGTCTGTGCCTCAGTTTCCCCATCTTACACCAGTGCTGACGACCTTCCTTTGCAAAATGCTTTGAGATCCATGGAGGATGCGGGACACTATAAGAGTGGAGTCTGATCATGCCCCCAGTTTGCCCCGTCAATGTTTCTCTGCTAGGACTCAGAAAGTCCAGGCTAAGGGGCCAATCACTCTCCGGCCCCGATTCTGATCTGAGCACAAACCCAGAGTAAACCCATTTACTTCAGTGAGGTTACTCCAGATTTACACCAACGTCAGTGAGTCCAGCATTAGGCCTTTCCTCTGGAACCCTCCTGGTGCAAGTGCCGTGAACGGAAGCCAGTTGTGCTATATGCCACATTTTCCTTGTGGTCTGTGGCCAGGCAAACAGCCCGTCAGACCGTGCTGGCTGCTAGCCAGGGCTGGATCAAACAAGCCATGAAAGGCTCTGTCCCTCCTTCCCAGCAGCAGCCCGTTATCCTGACCCTCACTACTCCTCATTCACTCCTCTTGAGGTCCCCGTGTGCTGTGATCTGCAGAGAGCTGGCTGCTCACGAGGGGCTGGCTCACGTCTTGATTTCCACTTGCTGACTTGCAGGAAGAGAGAGCTCGGGGAGGAAGAGGAAGCGGAAGCCTGGTTTGGGGGATAAGGCTAGCCCTCAAGAGGGCTGGTTTCCATTCCCAGCTCTTCTGCAGGGGTGAGTCATGTCATTGCACCATGCCTCAGTTTCCCCATAATCCTTCCTTGGTCTCATGCGATTGTCAGTTCTTGGGGGAGGGGACACTGACTGTCTCCCTGTGGGTGCATTTTCACTTGGAATAAGGGTAGTGTCAGCTAACAGGAGGTCAGATCCATGGCAGTTTGTAATTTTCACGTGAGTGAGACTATGGGGGTTTCCCAGGGTTTCCCTTGCCCTGATAACTCGTGTGAAAACTACAAACCCTGGCTTTGCCCTGTGTTAGCCAATAATAATCCTTAGCTCTCCTCGTCAGAAGAGCTCAAGGTGCTTTACAAAGGAAAGCCGGAGCATTATCCTCATTTTACAGATGGGGAAACTGAGGCACGGAGCAGACCTGACCCAGGGTCCCCCACAGGGCCAGAACCCACACCTCAGAAGTCCCACTCTAGTACGCCATCCACTACGCCACACTGCCTCTCCAAGAACACACCTTTCTTCCGAGTGAAGACAAGGCCTATATGAATGTGCAGCCCCCTGCACCGTGAAGCCCTGATCGCAGCTGGGTTCTGGAGGTGAAATTTAATGCACATAATTAACAACATTCAAGGAAATACCTGCCCACTGTTATCTTTCTATGCCACAAGGAACTGCCACCATAATCTGTATTATTACCCCAGTCACGGCCCAGGACGCCATGGTGCCAGGCGCTGTACATTATTTATTAGGTGTATTACGGTAGCTCCTAGGAGCCCCAGTCATGGCCCAGCACTCCGTTGTGCCAGGCGCTGTACATTATTTACTAGGTGTATTACGGTAGCTCCTAGGAGCCTCAGTCATGGCCCAGCACTCCGTTGTGCCAGGCGCTGTACATTATTTACTAGGTGTATTATGGTAGCTCCTAGGAGCCCCAGTCATGGCCCAGCACTTCGTTGTGCCAGGTGCTGTACATTATTTACTAGGTGTATTACAGTAGCTCCTAGGAGCCTCAGTCATGGCCCAGCACCCCATTGTGCCAGGCACTGTACATTATTTATTAGGTGTATTACGGTAGCTCCTAGGAGCCCCAGTCATGGCCCAGCACTCCGTTGTGCCAGGTGCTGTACATTATTTACTAGGTGTATTACGGTAGCTCCTAGGAGCCCCAGTCATGGCCCAGCACCCCGTTGTGCCAGGCACTGTACATTATTTACTAGGTGTATTACAGTAGCTCCGAGGAGCACCAGCCCTGGCTCAGCGCTCCGCTGTGCTAGGCGCTGTACAAACACAGAACTCAAAGACAGTCCCTGCCCCCCAGAGCTGCCAATCTCTCTATAAGACAAGAGATAACACATGGAGACAGACAGACAGACAGTGGGAGCACAAGGAAACAATTCAGTACCGGTCAGCGGACACACGGTGGTCTCAGCATGCCCGCAGCCTGACCTTTGTCCGGATTTCTGGAGGCATCCCAGGTGGGAGTTTGAAGTCGAACAATGTGGTAGCTTGGCAGATGTTTACGGGGAGCGGCTCCCAAGCGCGAGGGGAAGCTGAGGAACCGGCATGAAGGCCCAGAGCCTTGAAAATATTTAACTGCCCTGGGCATTCGGT